AAGTCCGCAAATAAATTGTGAGTAATATATTAGTCCATGTGAAACTATGGATTTAACAATATTCATATTGTAAACACGCCTTTAAGCAATTCAGTATTTTTATTTAAGGGTTGTTTCTTCATCATCTTCTGTGTAGTTAATTGTGTTGTTGGAAGGGATTTCCTCCAACAAAATTAAGTATTACGTGTCAATCTGGTATGTGCCATATAAGCCATTGACACCGATTTTATTCTGCTTTTCTTCCACACCCCTTGAGAAAACGAAGAACAACCTACAATGCAGAAATTGTATAATTTTGGTGTTTTCTCTCCTAGATGAGTTGCATGATAGCCTGGGAATTCGAACTCGAGACTTCTCGGTTTAGCGACCATTAACTTTAACGACCCGACCACGAGGATGGGTTGTTACTTAATGTAGAGTTATCACACCATACCAAAATGTTTTCCCTTGTCATAACATTTTTTTACAAATATTCTCAGTTCGGTGACAACATTGCAAATGATGTCGTTTAACCCAACAACTGAAGTGATGGTGGCTGTAGTTCTTGTGGCTGTGAAAACATACACCACATACCCATTGATCTGCTTATGTGGAAGGTAAGTATCGTTGCACATTTTAATACATCTAACGGAAATATGCACCTCGAACAGTGATAATATTTTTACATCGATAATTTTTTATTCGCGCATAGACTTTACAAACGGCAAACAAATAATAAAAGTAAACCTTGATTCAACAGAGATGCCTTTGACACAATATGGGGAATGTTCTGGAAAATGAACCCAGAAGAAATTTCACACAGAGAAAAGACTAGACGTGTCATAACTACATTGGTGTGGTTCACCTTGACCTTGCTGTTGTTCATGTTTATCCCTAATATTGGCGTGGTCATACAACTTCTAGGGGCTTTATCAGCTGTGTTTATTTTTGTATTACCAGGTCAGTGTTTCTCGTTGTTTTAAGAAAAAGACATGTGACATACTTAGGTCTTCTTTTTTTAATTGTTTAATTTTATGAATATTTAAATGGCCTTGAGTGGTCTGTGGTTTAAACAAGAAATTAACCATCACGCTAATGTGGTAGTATGTTCACCACTCAGTTCGTGTGACTCGTGCTGTGGCTCCTTCCCCTCAATGGTCCGTGACATTGAGTTCGACATCCCATAATTTCAGAGTGGTATATAAAGGAAGAATTTTCCTCGCACGAAGAGCCCACTAGACACCCACAGAGAGAGAAAGCCACGACGCCATGTTGTATTTTCTAGTTTAAGCAGCAATTTTCACTAAGTTCCAGTGTATTCAATATTTTTCTGTGTGTTATTTTAATAACGTGTAGGTTGTGGTGATAACTTAGGTACTTTATCCAGTGTTAGTAGTTTCAGTGTGTTTTTCCTGAAAATTGTAATGTATTAGTAAATTTCAAAACGGTTACATATATGTAATATATATATATATATATATATATATATATATATATATATATATATATATATATATATATATATATATATATATATATATATAAATATATATATATATATATAAATATATATATATATATATATATATATATATATATATATATATATATATATATATATATATATATATATATATATATATATATATATATATATATATATATATAATATATGTGTGTGTATATATGTGTGCGTGTATATTTCGAGAGGGGCACTCACAAGTTAGATTTACATCACAGCTACAAACTCACCAGTAAATGTTTTACAGTTTCATCAATAAATTGTGCCATATTTCTTTGTAATGCTCTATAGTTCATAGATCACTATCTACAACATTGACTTTGTATGAATTTCTTGCCAGGTTTTTGCTTGTTGAACGCAATGCAGAAGAGACTAGAATCTTTTGAGACGCAGCCTATAAGAGTGCACGTCTTAAGAGCGTTTGCCGTGGTTTGTGTTGTGGTTGGTGTGTTTACCATTGGACTAGTCACGTGTCAGGCTATTATGGTAAACATCCACGGAGCTGAACGGGATTCGTCAAAGTTCTCTTGTAGCTAGACTTCAAATTTTTTAATGTACGAGCCGACCCGCGGTGTATCACACGCCGCTATTTAGTTGTTTTTTCTACTTTTCAGTAATTTATAATTTGTGAATACGACAGTACCAATCCTGCCACTGAAAATATTTGCTTTAAAAAACTCACCCCCCCCCTCCGTGAAAGCAGCCTCCTCTTAGTTACCTCCTCTAAGTTTAAAATCGTTTCAAACTAAATTATCTGCCCCTAATAGCCGTCACCAAACCCAGCTCTACGGTTGTTAACATTTAGCGTGAACCACAGCTCACCAGACCATGTGATGGGGGGGGGGGGGGTGGGGGGCGGGCGGGTGGGGGGGGGGGGGTGTTAGCGATAGAGAGGAAGAGAGGGGACTGCAAGGCGCGCTTGCAGCTTGTTTTCTAACGTCTCCCAGAAGAGAATTATATATATAGATTATAATGTGTTGCAGTATTTTTATGTTATAAATCTAAAAGGCGACAGACCATAAGGCCGAAACACGCTAAGAACAAAGGTTTTTAAAAAATAATTGATTATTTGGTTAAGCTACTTTTTTACTAACTACCACATTTGAGTACAATAATCGATTATGAGATTCCATCGAATCAAAAAGACTTTATTGGAGATATTATGAAGAGCCAAGCTGAATCAATTCTTGAAAAATAAGCCACGCGTAAAGATTTGTACGTGACTTATGGCTTTTATTATTAAGAATTAGTAATACGTGGAATTTCTTATTGAATAGCAGTAGCAACAGCAATCGCTAATTTAGTCTTAAAGCTGTGCAATGTAAAATAATTACGGTTAGATGGATGAATAGGGTTAGGCTTAGGATTAACTTATTGTATAAAATATGATACGAACTTAAAGTCTAGACGTTTAACGAGTTACCCAATTTTTTTACTTTTTTTCTGTTTTCTTTATTTAAATAAATATTTTTCTCGAAAATAATTTTACGAAGAATAACATTGAAATGTATATCAAAACAAAATAATAAAAATAATAAATATTTATAACAGAAATCTGTTTTAACTTTTTTTTTTAACTCTTCTGATTTTTTAACATAAATCTAAGCCAATGAAACAGCGTTTAATGGTAATCAGAGCTCATGTTTTGAAAAAAAAATGCTAGTTAAAAATTTTCCAAAATGCCCGGCATTGAATAGCCATTTTGTTCATTCATGTTTTTAACCCTACACTGCCTGCGAGACGGATAAAATCATTGATGTATGCATGTCTATTTATCTTACTCCCATGTATTGACTAAAAATTGCGTAACTCGCAATCCTGACAATGGTTTAGGCGTGATAATTGCAAATTACACTGCAGCAGATGTACGATCTATCTGCACTCGGTTTCCATGTAACACAACGGGAATTTCCTTATATCATATCAAGTTTAGACTACATAATTAAAAAAAAATCTAATGTAATTTAAATAATGGCAAAAAAATTACGAAATCCTAACCTCAAGCGAATTCTAACACTGACCTATCTTATTCAAAAACTAACCAAATTTTTACCAAAACCAATATTTTGCATAAACTAATTAGACTAGTTTTAAATTTACACTAATCTTGAATTTGGTTCACAAAATTACAAATAAATCCAAACTAAACGATTTACCTCACCTAAATTCCCCGCACATAAATTAATAACCCAAACTTCAAAACTCACCTAGCCTATCAATACAATTAAAATAAATTACCAAGTTTATATACCATGCTTACTCAAATATCTGGGAAGCAAACAAGTAGTTAAATAAAACAATTTCAAGCTTTTAACTTATGCATACAAAAAAATACATATACAGCATAAATGCAGCATGGACGACCAGAATTAAAGGATTAATTAAGACATTACAATAATTAATTTATTTTAATTCAAACTGGATATAATTCTCGATAATGTAATTTCTTCATGCTTTGACTTGTCAATATCGGCACAATCGAAAACACGGTTTGAAAATGTTATTAGTCAAGCAAAGGCGATAAAATGTAGATTACTGTGGATATTTCCGAGTTTTGAAATACTGTATAACTAAAATACGATAATACTTAAAATAAACTACTAATTTAAATAGTACATAATACACTTTTTATATTATTTTTTTGCATTTGTAATAAGAATTAATATAAAGTACAATCAATGTTTCTTTAAATTAACTAACAAAAATAAATATACATTATCTGTAGTTTTGGATTTATAAGGAGAGCATTTTCTGTACATTATCTATAGCAACATCACCTCATTAAAAAATAAACCGGTAGTGATCTCCCCTAAACTTTCTCGAATATTCTTATATAAAACAACAGGGGATGGTAACTGGGGATATAGTTATGATTTTTAATCCATTTTAAATACTTAAACTTTTAAAAATAGAATAGAATCTCATTAAAAAAAACATTGCGCACCAAGCAAACGCCGAATAAAAACGCGTATAATAGTGCGCAATATTATTAGTACTTTAAAAATTTACATTAGTTTTTTGAGAAATCGGAAGTAGCGTAAATTACTACTTCCAGTCAACGGAAATTACTCAAAATTTAACAGAAGGTAGAGAATTAGATCTTTTACTTACATGTGAAATTTCATTTATCTATCTGAAATAGTACTCAAGTTATAGGCTTTTGAAAAATTCAAAGTAGGAAAAGTACCACTTCCGGTTATCGGAAATCGCTCAAAAGTTGATACGGATCTACGATTTTGATAAAATACTTATATATGAAATTTCATCAACCTAGCTGTAACGGTACTCAAGTTATCGTGTTTACACACGGACAGACACACACACAGACACACACACACACAGACATACGGACAAGATTGCAAAATTATGTTTTTCCGTATCAGTGAGGTGTAAAACGTCGAGATTTGTAAAAATCTCGATTTTTTTTTTTTGCACGATTACAATACTTTCTCTATACTACGTATATACGAGAAAGTAAAAATAAACACTTGTGTTGTGACTAGGCACACGTAAACTCCGAATGGTCTAACACAACACCACGAATGTCTTGTATAACAGCCTGTGACAATGTCAGGCCAAAGATAAACACACCAACAATCAGAAGGACGATAGCCATCCCCTTTAACAAGTACACTGTCTTGGGTTGATTCTCGCACGAGTCGATTCTGTTTTCCGTAATCTTTAACAAGCAAAGACCTGCAAAAAAATGAATGATATTCTTAAGCGTTTAATCTTATATCTTATCATATTTTCTTTATCTTTCTAATTTGTGGACCAATCTTAATAATAAAATAAAACTTTCTTTATCTGAAAATATATTCAAATCTAAACTAAAACAACAATTATCTAATGGCCCCCTTAACTGACTCATTGCAAAATTTCACATTTATCTATTATATTCTCATTCTATCTCTTTTTGTATTGTTACAAATGTTACTGTTATGTGTTTACTACTCCATTGCTTTTTATTACAATGCTGTTATTAAGTTATTTTTTTTTAAACGGCCAATGTGAAAAAAGGCCTCCGTGTCTACTGTTCTTAGCGTTACTTAATAAATGGAATATATTTAGTATCAGCGAAATAAAAAAAAACTAGACAAACAAAACGCTTTATTTTATAATCATTGAAACTCGTGTTAACTTGTAAATTAAGAGAAATGTTTCACCTGGAAATATAAAAATAAAGACTGCAGCTAATGCCCCCAGGAGTTGTATGACCACGCCTATATTGGGGATGTAGATAGAGAACAGCAGGGTCAAGGTGAACCACACCAATGTCGTTATGACACGTCTCGTCTTTTCTCTGTGAAAACTTTCCTCTGGGGTCATTTTCCGAAGCGTTTTCCATACTGTGTCAAGTGCAGCCCTGAGAAAAATAGATTTGGATGCATGAATTGCAGCGTTGGGCTGCTAGCCCGCCGAAGGTCTGGAGTTCAAATCTCGGTTGGGAATAGTGACTGTAGGACGTCCCTGAGTTTACTCAGTTTGGATTTGCATTGGCATTGGGGAAAGTAAAGGGGCTGACCAAATTATCCCTTCATCTACAGAGGTCAAGAACCGTATGAACTCTACTTCGTCTGCACACTGGATCGCTGGAGCTAAAAAGAAACTTTTTTTTACTTTGCATGAATGAAATTTTTCACAAATTTTTTCCTTGATCGAAGCAAGTCACATGTGTATCCGGGAGAAGGGAGGGGAGGGTTCGTTAAAACATTTTTCAAACCCGCATTTCTTCCTTTGGATATCACTGCCTTCAGAGAAATCGTATAGTCGCTGTTGAAGTAAGTCCAAAAATTGTGTCCCTGTTATCCTTTAGCTGTCTCTATTTATTGCGAAGCCTTAAGTCTAAAAGTCCCACGGTACTTGTTATATATTGTCTTCATATTGTGAGGACACTAACACTAACTGTTTTTGTTGCTAATTTTTACTAACCTACATGAACATTGTAGTGTTGGAAGAGATTTACTCAAACACAATTAAGTATATGTGTCAACTTGTTATGAGCCATATAGGCCTTTGACTCCGATTTCAGCCTGCTTTTCTTTTTTAATTTGCTTCCATAGCCACTGTCCAACCAAGAACAAACGACAAGGCAGCGGTTATTTGTTTATTGTCCACAGTCATTGAGCATCATCCCCGGGGTTTCGGATTCGGGACATTACGGTTCAGCAACCATGAGCCTTTTTTAACGGGGTATTTATCAAATTAATGTTATACGTGTACATGTACCGGACTTACTTGCCACAAAAGCATGTTATAGGATATGTGGTGTAAGTCTTGACAGCCACAAGAACTACAGCCACCATCACCTCAGCTGTAGGGTTAAACGACAGCAGTATGTCATTTGTAATGCTGTTACCAAACTGTGAAAGCAGAATTAAACATAGTTTTACATTTAGCTAAAGATTAGTTTTGGCTTATTGAAATTACTAATTGATGTGTTAAGAAAATATGTTTTATGTAAAGTAGTAAATTTAGAATACCTCGGATTTTCCTTATTTTCAAAAGATTTGTATAACCACTATTTAATGCTCTACTGTTCTTATTTTTCTTCTTCGTTCTTAATTGTAATGATGGACGTGATTTACTCTAATATAATTAAGTATTGGGCTATGTGTCAACTGGTTATGCGCCAAATAAGTAGTTGACTTCTGAATTTGCTTACGTAGCCTTTGTCTACCAAGAACAAACTAAACGTTAGCAGTTGTTTGATTTTGATGTTTTCTCTTCTAGATGGATTTCTGTCATCAGCTATCAAGCCTCATCTGCCAAAGGGTTCGAACTCTGTACTGTTCAGAATAGCAACAACGAGCTTTAACGACACAACCGCGCCAACCCCCCTTGTTCGTATGTTGAAGTATTGACTGAATCGAGCCTAACAGGTTGCTCCTTCTTCGTGTTTGTTGGCAAGTTGAATCAAACTGGTATTCTCACTGTATTGGACATCCATATAAAAGCTCTTATAATCACTAATAAAAGTAATCTATGGAAAATACTGCAGCAAAGAAGAAGCCACAAACCTGTAGATAGCCAAGAGCTGCTGTGACTGTGTAAGTTATGATACACAATATCATAGCAAGTGATACTGTTTTAGAGAACTCTTTAATGTTACGCTTGGCCATACACGAGTATACAGGGATGATACTGACATGACACTGGAATATTACATAAACATATGAAACTGGTGTAAAGTTATAAACACCGCAATCGATAACAACTTAGTTTTCTTACAAAAACGATAAGGCCAAAATCAAAACGAGCTATACCGCAACTGTGACTTAAACAAGATGTTGATGAGTAACTTGTTTGAGTAAAGTATAATTTAACTTTCAACAGGACGTGATACGTGATGTAAACAAATTGTTTTTAACAAACGCAGAAGACACAGATGGATCAGCCAATGCAAAAGTATTACGCAGTTGGTGGTACCAAAAAAGAATAGTATAACCTTGACAGAACTAGCACAATAAAAACTGCCATTTGTGTGTGTCTCAGTGTGTATATATGTAGCCCGACAGAACGAACCCGAAATTACATCTCTAAAAGATTCAGTTCTTCTACAATATTTTTGAAATTTCTCACCTGATAAGAAAAACAAATTTCTGGAACTACAAGAAAAACATCAACCCATGAATTCGGCCTGAAATTAAAACACTCTGTAAGTTAATGAGTCCTTCTGCAATATTTTAATATAAATATAAATTTGTGTTTAAAGCTTTATTTAAAATATTGTTTATTTTATTTTAAATAAGTTATATTTTTCTAAAACTTTTTTTATAAGCTTAATATCCAAAATTTATAGAAGCTTTCAAAATTATAGAATGACATCAAAACAATCACAATCAGGCTGACGCAATTACAAAAGAAAGTCTTGAAGGATCTATGAGCGGTAACGTATATTATAGTTTAGTGAACACATTCGGTTCAATGTTTTACGTTGTATTGATTTGTTTTGTTACTTTGTTTGCAAATAATTATTAGCTAGTTCTAGGTGAATGTTTTTACTTATCAAAAATATATGAATACTTATTAATCTAGTACTTTCTCTAACATGAGTAAGGTACCCGTCAGAGTAGGGAACACTTAGCGATGTTCTACTGACTTGAACTTAGATTCGAACTCATCATTTTTCAAGTTAGCAGTCTTTACGGTTAGGCCACGCTGTCTCATAATCTAGCATGTGCTGGTACATAAAACATAAGTCTGTTTGCTGTTGTATATAGCATTGTTCAGATAAAATGAGGCTGTTGTCTAACGTACCGTGTGGCGATGGTACCAGGGCTGTCGTGAGGCAGGAAATATCGGACGGTGACAAGTACGACAACGTACAAGATTCCCAGAACACCAACAACACTGAGGTGAAAGGAAAAGTTTTTCTTTTCAGTAATATCTACAGTGTTTTGAATATGCGCCGTTTTATTTTTTTTACAATTTAAGATTTAAATCTTTTTGAATACTGTTACAATGTTTGGAACATGAAAGTAAGTATTAAACAGCAAAAAACGGTTTGAAAACAATTTCGGCTGTCATGGAAACCCAAAAAAAAAACCTCCGCCATTTTTAATTTTTCGGTACTTTTAAAAATAAGCCTTTTTTGTTTATAAAATTATAGCAACAAAATTTAAACTGCTTATATTTCAGTATATATTAAAACTTTTGTCACGGCAACTTTTTGAAATAGCTAATAGTAAGAATTTTACAAAATCTAAATATTATACCCTTTTTAGTATTCAAAGGTTCCAAAATTTGCATATTAGTTACCAAATACTTTTTCCTTTGAAAGCCATCACAATGTTCTCGTGACAAAAAAGTTGTATTTTTGCATGAAGAACAATTATTGAAAATATGGTGGGCATTATTTAATAAAGAAAAAGTTGTAGTCTTTTTAGCGCTAAAAAACTGCGAATAAAAAAAAGCCAAAAGTAACGAAAAGTACGTCACAAAAATACCATATTTGTGTAAACGGTAAAGCCAATTAAAAACTTTGGCCGTTTGCAAGATAATGTAAAATTAAGATTCTCAAATAAATGAGAAATCCAGCTTTCCAATTATGCTAAATACAGTATGATGACAGATATAAAACTTTTCATAGAGAACTTAAGATTGAGGAAAATTGATTATTTTTTTTAATTAATAGGGTCTTAAAATGGTATTTTAAATACATACAATTTTTTTCTCTCATTAAAGTTATTATTTTCTTAATACAAAAACGGACAAAGTATCCAAAAGTGCAAGATACCGTTCATGTCGATAAACAAGAATTTTTGTGATTTTTTTGTTTGCGGCGCATATCCTCTAAAGTCGCACGCATTTTTAGTTTTTAATTTTTATTTTAATCTTTTTTTTAATATTTAATTTTTTTTATAATACGCTTGACATAAATGTCTATAGTAATACATTTTATCGCAATAGTTTTTTTAAAATATAATCGTGTTTTTTAAAAAAATAAGATATTTTCTAAATAATTAAAGTGTCTAAAGTAGTGACATATAGGGCGCGGATATAGTGTAATTTATATTTTTTTAAACTAATTTTTACAATAAATTTTCAAAATCGGGGTGAGTGAAAAATGGCTAAAGCTAATTATGTATTTTTCTGGACATTATTTTGTTACTTTGGTCTAGTTTGTGATAAAGGGATGTAATCGTGTATTAAAACTCAAAACCATTAGTCGGAACACTTGATGAAAAGCTTTTAAATCTGCTGAAAACTATCCAACATTTTTGTATGTTAAAAACCTTTCTATCTGTAGGTTCGTATAATTTCAAGTGTAGAAAAAAGATGTTTTAACAAAAATTTTTTTAATCTTAATGTTCATTACAAGGTTCTAGCCAGACTAAACACAATTTAGAGTGAAAAAATAAATTAAACGACGTTTACAGTGAAACACAAAAATACTTATTTGAGTTATAGTTGTTTATTTTTGTTTTTTAATATGGTTATCATTAAACATATTTCCGATAGTTTAAAAAGGGATTTTGAAATGATCGACTTACCTGGCGTATCTTAAAAAATCGATTCTTTTAGGAAAACATAACGGCAGTATAAAGACTATGGATGTGGCTGATATAGTGAAAGCTCTTGTCATGTAGAATGGGTTTGTTTTACAGTAGACGTCATAGGCTACTTTCAGGAAAACTGAAAAGAAAATGTAACGAGTAAAAATCGTTTTACAATTCAGTTTGCATTGATCATTATCATTATGTCTGGGAAATATAAAAACTGTACTAAGAGAAAATAATTGAAAGTGTAATGTGTATATCCATGGAGGCAGATAATCATTCAGGCACCCCACACTCGCGAAGCCACACCCCTTTCCCCGTGGGATAAAAGAGATGGCGTGCCCACCTTAATATAGTGAAACAAGCCGACCCGCGACGTAGGATACGCCGCTCTTTAGTTTAATTCCTATTTTTCAGTAATTCATAATTTGTAAATTCGACACTACCAATGCTGTGACTGTAAATATTTTGCTTTAAAACACTATCAGTAGCTAGTGTAGGACGATTATCCTCACCCTCACTTTTCACTCCTCTCCCACCCCCTCCCCTCGCCGCCTCCGTGAAAGCAGCCATCTGTGACAACAGTTTACATGCGAGAATGAAAAGAGCAAGCAGAATATGTTATTATCTCCCCTTAGTTTCAAATATTTTTAAAAACTTAATTATCTGCCACTAATAGCCGTCACTACGATAGTAAACAGCTCACCAGACTGGTGGGGTGGGGGTGATAGTGATATAGTCTGTTGAGCTTACGTTTTGGTGTCTCGCATGGTCCCAATGAAGAGAATTATATATATAGATTTAATTTTTCTCTCCATACGTTCTATTGGGCAATTATGGTAAACAACTTTTTGTACCTCTACAACTTGTGTGCCTATAGACAAAAACCTAGGCAGCCCATTCCCCAGCTAGTTACTCTTCAATGCTTCACTATCGTTCTTGTGCCATCCTACTATTGGCTAGCCGAGTAAACTGAATGCTATCACATCCAATTTTTTATACCTTAGAATTTAAACGTGTAATTGAACTCAAAACATAATGATACATAATGTGAAAACTATCAAGGGACTTGTAACATTTGTTATACATTAAATAATAATATATTAAAACAATTAAATAATAAAACGTACATATTTCCCACTGGTCGCCTATTATAATGAGGAGCGTGATACACAAGCCAAAGCTGAAGAGTGAGACACAGACAGCACAAGCTAGCTGGGCTTTAGGTCCACACAGGGAGAGAACCACGTCTTGGTAGGTGTTGCTTCCCTTGATGTCAGAACAGTACCCAAGGATGAGTAGAGTCAACACAATAAATACCAGCATTACCTGTCGATTGAATATAATATTACAAGATCGTTAAGAAATTGTAAAAATAAACTTAATTAATTAAATGTAATAAAAATTTAATGAAGTAAAAATTGAAGAGAGTCTGGAAGAATGCATTGTTAGTTAAACATAATTATATCATTTACCACTGTCTATCTTTGAGTTAAATAATACGTTAGGTTTATTGTTATGTTACATTTGAGCGTATTGTTTAATGCTGATAGAACAAAAAATTAAATTAATCCCAGCTATAGGGCTTGTAAGTCTCTTTGCTTCTCTTACTTATAATTTGAAATCTCGTTAGCCAGGGTCAGGTGAATTCTCAAGGTATCATTATCAGTTTTTACGATTTTAAATAACTTAACAATAGTGTAAGTAACTTTTATTTCTTTTTTTACCGATTTAATGAACATATTCACAATTGGTTCGAAAAATACTAGCTGGCTATTATGATAAGAAGTTGGTGACCTACTTACCAGCTCTATAGACATGCAAAAGGCGGTTGGGTGTAGTGCTGACTACACGATCCCTTTCTATGGCAATGTCATTATTGTAACATATAAACTCTACTTCATCGGCTTCGTGTATTTTTGTGCAAATACGGAAAGAAATTATTGTGGTGAATTGTTGAATGGTGTTGACACAATATTTATACACATGGAATAAAACATGGGGTTTCTCTAGAATCTTGGTGAACGAACTCACGGTTTGGACTATCACAGCTGACAAGACCCCACCAGCCTGATGGTAGGCTACAGGGAGGTTTAGAAGTCCGGCTCCCAGTGTCGCGTTGACCACGAGAAAAGCTGACACAAACCATCCGGAACCTGTGCGATAGAATATTTTAATAACAGTTAAGTGTGTCCGTTATGTCATGTTGAAGGCTTATCACTGGCCTACGCTGGTTGGGAGGGGGGGGTATTTAAACAGATCCCATAATAGAATAAATATTTAAAAAAATAAATACGTTTATATTAATATATATATATATTATTTATAGGCCTATATGTAGTATGTTTATACAAGTATATGTATCAATTATATATATATATATATATATATATATATATATATATATATATATATATATATATATACTTATGACAACATATTCACTAGATAACTGTGTTTTATAGCACACAAACAAAAAACATACAAAGCATGAATAATTTATTTTATTTTCTACAAGCAGTAGAACATTTTGTACTACTATTAATACTTGACAAACGCCTGCGACCTACTTAATATTCTTAAAATGATAGTAAAAATATGCATACATTGTTCCAAATATAATTTAACCGTAATTACTTTAAGATAATCATGTATGTTATTTAAACTACCAGCAATTAAAAAAACTTAGGTTGCAGGTTCATATAAATTAAGAGATCTCTTTAACTGGAAGAATTCTTTACTAAAAAGTGATGGAAATAACTTTACCAGATTTTTTACTTGTTCCTGCCAAAGACTTCAGCTCATTCTTTTCATCAACAAAGTGGTCAAACTTGATGCTATTCACTTGAATACCCATGGTTAGTCTTTTTCCAACTCTAACTGTGGTAATGTGGTGAGAGAAAAAAATAAACACAACTAAAAATAAAATACCGTTTCTATTATTTTAATTTATATTTTAACAAGGAATCAAACAATACATTGGTTAGCTAAAAAAATGTATATATATATATATATATATATATATATATATATATATATATATATATATATATACATATATATAAAATTACTACCACATGTACGTAAAATTTACCTTATCTACCATATCAATATTATTTATTTGTCATGCCTGATTTTAAACTATATCATTGCACAGTGTTTTCATAACAGATAGGTATATTCATTATGTTAACATCGAAACGGTAGTCTCATCTTTCATATTTAAATGCGACCATTTATTAACATAATTGAACTATTCGACAAGGGAATACCATCTAAGATGCGATTGATCTAACCTGACAAAAAAAAAGATTACAACTTTGAATCAATTTACATCTTAGGCAGTCATTATTATTCTGATCATTTTTGTAACTGCTATAGTTGGTATATTTTACTTAAAAATTTAACACGTCGTCAGGATGTAATTTTGTTGATGATCATACACTAACTGTAGCTCTAATTCAGAGGTTCTTAACATATGTTCTATCAAACCCTACGGGTTCGTTGAGTCAGTCTCAGGGGTTCAGCGGAAGTCAAAACATAGACCCTACTCGTATGATTCGCGATCGGATTGTGTCAGTGAGGACTATAGAACCATTAAAAAGGGTTAAGTGAGTGAAAATGGTGGGGCTCGGTACTTCCAAAAATGTTACAACCACCCTAACTCTATGAACGACTCCAGCATTAAGAAATCAAATTCTGGAGTACCTGTCTGACAGATTGAGTTCACCGATATTCTCTCTACTGTCATTCCGGCTCAACCACGTCACATCCGCCTAGGACCAACATACAACAGGTGTTACATCGGTACACCACTCAGACACATCACGCGCTGACAGGTACGGTTTGTGGAGCTCACATTCATGAACGTGGGGAAATATTATTTATTCGTTCAGGTATGTCACCTTGACAGCAATATAGCTATATATAGAGGCAATACGTTATGTCACAGGGGGATTTTTATACTTTGTGGCCTCGTTGATTAATTTGTCATTATCTAGTTAATTAAGAATGTGGGTAGGAATTATTCATGGTGGGGGAGGATGAGTTTTAAACATTTTCTCTGCATTTATATATATATATATATATATATATATATATATATATATATATATATATATATATATATATATATGTGTGTGTGTGTGTGTGTGTGTGTGTGTGGGTAATGTATTACCAATTGCTAATATTAGTTACTGATCGTAGCAATAATAATGCAATAATATACATGCAGTTGGAAAAAGTAAGGGGTGTTGGGGTTATAACAAAATACGGCATTGTAAAGAGCTTTTCTGTCTTTTAAAGTGAGACGAGATAGGAAGAATTATTGGAGGCTGGGGGTGGGGAGGAGGAGGGTAAGAACGTTTTTCATCAAACTTTTGAATTTTTAAAAAGTGAGCGACTATAAATTTTCTTCTATGGTCCTAACGAGTCAGTAAGGGTATGATTGCAATTGTAGTTGAATTATGCTAAAGAAATATAAACGTTTGTAACTTAATTGCTCGTTACTGGCAATTGCTCAAAAGTTGCTACAAATCGAATTACAGGAGCTAATACTAATATATGCAGTTTCGCCCTCCTGGCTGAGCCATAGTTAGTTTCTCGTGTTTACAGTGAAGCAGAATAAATTACAACTTCCGGTTACCGGAAACAGCACAAAAATAGATACGTGCTAAGCTATTACTCACAGCACAAAAATAGATACGTGCTAAGCTATTACTCACTTAATTAATTTCTTCCACCAATATAAAACTAAAACCAAGAAGTATAATAACATCTTACTTCCGTTTTTCTGAAATCACTCAAATGTTTACCCAAACAAGCGTAAAAGATCTAATTTTTCTATATTAAATTTCGTCCAGCTATCTGAAACAGCGCTTAAGTTATTAGGTTTTGATAAACCAGAAATAGAATGAATATACTTCCGGTTATCTGAAATCGCTCAAAAGTTGATAGAAAACTACACATTGGATATATGAAACATCGACCTCCAAACTAAAATTGAACTCAAGTTATCGTGTTCACAGACAGACAGACAGACAGACAGACAGACAGACAGACAGACAGACAGACAGACAGACAGACAGACAGACAGACAGACAGACAGACAGACAGACAGACAGACAGACAGACAGACAGACAGACAGACAGACAGACAGACAGACAGACAGACAGACAGACAGACAGACAGACAGACAGACAGACAGACAGACAGACAGACAGACAGACAGACAGACAGACAGACAGACAGACAGACAGACAGACAGACAGACAGACAGACAGACAGACAGACAGACAGACAGACAGACAGACAGACAGACAGACAGACAGACAGACAGACAGACAGACAGACAGACAGACAGACAGACAGACAGACAGACAGACAGACAGACAGACAGACAGACAGACAGACAGACAGACAGACAGACAGACAGACAGACAGACAGACAGACAGACAGACAGACAGACAGACAGACAGACAGACAGACAGACAGACAGACAGACAGACAGACAGACAGACAGACAGACAGACAGACAGACAGACAGACAGACAGACAGACAGACAGACAGACAGACAGACAGACAGACAGACAGACAGACAGACAGACAGACAGACAGACAGACAGACAGACAGACAGACAGACAGACAGACAGACGGACAGACGGACTGACGGACGGACGGACGGACGGACGGACGGACGGACGGACGGACGGACAGTCTGTCTCTTGTGGAGCTTAACCCGCCGTAGTTGAGTAAGAGTTCACAACTCGACAGTTACCCTACACCAAAGATCAATTTTTGGTAAATAGAAAATTTGACATTTTCTTTTTTTTTGTTTTGTTTATTGTATTCTTTTAACTTACGTTGAATGTTTAACACAACCCTTTCTATACATTTATTTCTATAAAAAAAATTAAAAAAGGTTTTTTAGCGAATTAAAATTTAGATTTTTTTAACACGTTGACTAACCAACATATACAAAGTTTATTATTGCTTAAAAATAATAAAACATGATATAACTTTGTACGTTTTAGATAATAAATTCGACTTACAATTTGGATAATATGGAACATAAAACGTATACATTTTACTAAAAGTTCCAATAGAAAATCACTTACTTTATACAATCAATCACAAATGAAGATGAGTATCATTCACAAACACATGACAGGAGCAGAGACGTACAGAGAAGAGAGAGATGGTTAGACTGAAAGTTTGGTCTCACACCTACACACGCTCAGATAGAGTAGCCAGATGTTATGGCGCTCTAGGAATATTCATTAGCATCAGTACACAATTAGCCTTCTACGTTGTTTTTAAAATAATATGAATTAATTAATATTTAATTAACTGTGTTGTTTGGAGATAGCGCGTTGCAAAAAAAAAATGTTGGCGTAGACATTTCGTCAGCAGTTATAAGGAAGTATAAAAATGTTCCTCTTTAGACATGACTGCCAAAAATGGAACTTTACAGACTTTACTTCGGTAAAGATTATTGAGTATAGTAATATTCCTTTGGACAGGTGAAGTAGAATTCGTGTTTCGGCATATGAAGGGATGGTGTAATCTGCACCATACCCAGCCGCCTTTATTTTCCCCAACGTAAGACAGGTACCCATCACAGCTGGGCAGACTCAGGGACGTCCTACAGTAACAAGTCTGAACAAATATCTGAACTCTAGACCTTCAGGCTAGAAGCGGAACGCTCTACCATTTGACCACACATGATGACTGAGCTTAGTGTTGACCACTTTATCTTTTCAAATGCCGAGGTCATAGAAACATGTGAACTCTACCTCACCTGCGCCATTTATTGCAGCGTTTCTTCCAGACTTTTTTCTCCAGGGGAGCACTTAAAATTTTCGGAGGTGGGGGGAAGGGGGACTCAAATTTCTGAGGGGCGGACACTGTTAAAAGAATATATTTGCTATATAAATTCTGTTTCGTTTGGGGGGGGGGGGGGTCAGTAGACTTTCTGGGGAGGGGGGGGGGAGGGGAGGGGGTGCGGCCGAGCCCCCCTAAAGGATGCCTGTAAGAAACTCTGATTTATAGTCAGGTCTAAAAGAGAATTTCACTTCTTTTTCAGTTTACTAGATCTTAATGTGACAATGTTTGTAATGCATTTACATTTAGTATCAACACATTTAATTACCTACGTGTGCGGACGCTGCATAATGTTTATGACTTTAAAGCATGATACACGTATCAATGACCAATACGTGAAATGTACTTTCTCATCCCTGTCTTATTTCTTTTAAATGAAACACATATAGACCAATAATTATTGTCAAATATTTCATTTCAATTTATAAAGCCATGACTTGTATCAATTATTTCGAGTTGTCATTAATAAGTATCGTGTTTTACCATGAAACGAGCCATAAAACGAACGTACTTTAGTGAAGTGTTTTTCATTTCTTTTTCGCTGGTTAACATTCTAGGGGGTTGGATGGATGAAAACAGTCAACGTCACTTGAATAAATTAGTTGTGGAGTATCGGTAAACTGCGCAGCTCAAAACTGCGCACTTACATTAATAATTTTTTTAACTTTTAATGTACAGGCGATAGCATAGAATAACCACATGCACAGTGCAACATAGTAAAATTTTTTTTTTTAGGAAATATGAAAAAAGGAACATTTATGATAATCATGAGTTTGTATTTGCGCATTTTTCTATTTGCGCATTTTTCTGTTTGCGCATTTTTCTATTTGCTCAGTTTTCTGTTTGCGCAGTTTAGTAGCCCATCTGTATAGAACAATGATTTTAACTTCGTTTGATCCAAGTCGAATCCTAGTTCAGTGAGTTAATCTCGTGTTTGGTGGAGGTCAAGACACACACCCGACTCATATGATCTGCAGTCGTAATTAATCAGTGCGGACGATAGAGTTAGCCGCTGCGGACGATGACGGTTCTAATACGACAGCTGAGCAACACGGCATAGTAGTAAAATTCACCACAGCGACATTACACGTATGAGCATATGAAGCTGTTCGGTCTCGGTGCCTCACAAATGTTAAGAACCACTGGTATAGACAGTATTGGACGGAGTGGCCTAGCGGTAGAGAGCGAGATTGCTAACCCGAAAGTCTCGAGTTAGAAACGGGTTCAAGTCAATCTACCCAGCTCTGATTGGAACCTAACTCACATTAAGTTAAATTAAAGGCGACTGGACATAGTGCTAACCACACTATCCCTTCATATGGCTAGGTCTCTGAACCATATAAACTCTAATTCATCTGCCCTGCGTGTCTTTGATACGAACAGGAAAATGGTATAGACAGTGCATCAGCACGGAGAAACTCCATTGAACCTCTTATTTCATTTATCTCAAATGTCATCTTTTTCAACTTTGTTTATTTTATGTATGGCAAATGTGCATCGCAACATTTTATTTCTTATTCAATGTTATAAACTTATTCCTATATGTTTAACATTTCATTGAAAATTATTGTTTACACTTTATAACACCTGTTTCAGATGGCAACGGGTTTGAACACGGTACTTCAACTTAATGATAACATAATGGCGATATGCAAGTAAGGTATGTTGAAAGGAAATGTTGAATGAATAGAAAACATGTAGGTGGACATGAATGATTTCATTCAAATGTTCAGCCATATGTTACATGATGTTTATATATAGCAAGCTCTAAACACTTAAAATGCATGACGCAAAGAGATATTTGTGCAGTTTCATATAATGTAAATGTGTTTGGAAATCTTCGCATTTGTCATTTTGTTACTAATATACGAGCAGTTCCCATACAATATATTTTATTTATTTATTTCATTCAATAACGGTAACAATAGTAGGCACGGAGGCCTTTACAAACTGTAAATGTGTTAGAAAGTTACCGTATTTTAGATTGTGTATGTATAATTTGTTTAAATTTGTTTATTCATGTTTTTGAAATTTGTTGTTTTGTCATTTTGTTACTATTAGAAGAACAATTCCCAAACAAGGTGTACATATGTTTGAAAATCGTCATAGTTATCATTTTGTTACTATTTCATCAACAAAGATAAACGATGAACAATGACAGAATGGGACATCGTACGATACGTTGTCCTGAATAATATTCCCAAGTTCGGACCCCATACAGATGAGGTTCGTTAGCTCGGGACAGCCACCCATCAAAGAGGCAAATTTCCAAAATCAAACAAAAGCTGCCTTGTAGTTTGTTTTTGGATGGACACAGTTAAGGACGAATATACAGAAAGGATGAAATCATAGTCAACTGGCCGTATAGCGCACAACATATTGACACGTAATACTTTATTGAATGAAACCCCTTTAATTTCACAATACTAGATAAATGGCCCATTGAGGGAAAAATACAACGGGCGCTAGGATGATTGTGTTGTCTTTTTCTTTAAACCTAAATCAAAACCAAAATCTCCAACTCATCTTCAAATTTAACCAAAAACGAAAATTGTCACTTAAAACGGATTTTTACCCAGAATCGGCATTTTAACCGAATTGAAGCTTGATGTACACGTACTTACTTCACATTCATACTAAATATAGTCGTAGTCATACCCCTAAGCCTTGCACCTAAGCTCAAACTTGACAAAACTCGCATTTCAGAGTTTCTTTCAGGTATCTACATGGTCTGGTGAGCTGTGGTTCACGCTAAATGTTTACAAGCGTAGAGCCGGGTTTAGTGACGGCTATTAGGGGCAGATAATTTAGTTTGAAACGATTACTTAGGGGAGGTAACTAAGAGGAGTTTACTTTCACAAGGGGGGGGGTGGGAGGTGGGGTAGGGGGTCGTCCATAAATGACGTCACACTCGTACCGACTAAAGGTTGACCCTTCCTTCTCTAATCTAGACCAGTTTCCTACTTTTGACCGCTAAACATCAATCATGCAAGAAGTGTTTCTTTCAGACTTTTTTCTCCGGTGGGGAGTGGGATTAAATTCTCTGGGGGAGGGACGGCTGACACTAATAAAAGTTTATATTTTCTACATAAATTGTGTTTCATTCGGGGGTGGGGGTGTGGACGGCAGACGTTTTTCGGCTCAGCCCCCACCTCACCTACCCAAAGAGATGCCTAAAAAATTCTTCATGCAGACCACTTTTAAATAAAATTAGACAAAAAAATTAGGCGATAATGTTAGTGTCTTTATTATCGAGTATCATTGACGTCATTATTTTGGTGGCATTAGAATTATTTACTGTACAATCCATAAGGTCATTCTTTTTCGTGTAGCATTGAAAGAAACACTTGTCGCATCTGTCGATCACACAGACGAAAGGCAGACCCAACTTGTAAAATCTAGACCCGTTTCCTACTTTATTAATTGTATTTCTTGGGGGAGGGGGGAGCAGTAGCGTAGCGAGGGGGGGGGGGACAAGTCCCCCGGCGCCGACCTTAGGGGGCGCCAAAATGGGTTGGAAAAATAAATTGAAAGGTTGAGGGGGTCGGAAATCGAAAGTTTGAGAGGGGGGGGGGGGGGTTGCAAATCGAAAAGTTTCTCCCCGGGCTCCGGGAAGGGTTGCTACGCCTCTGAGGTGGGGGGGGGGGGGAAGGAGGGCGATGTTCTTAAAATTAGACAAATAAATTAGAAACTTGAGATAGAAAAACAACTGTATTCATCTGTAACAGATATTTTCTGATCAGCTACAGTACAATTTGGACGAGTCTGGCTTGGCGTCGTAAATGTCTTTGGTGATGGTCTGTGTAAACGTCAGCCCAAAGATAAATACACCAACAATAATAAAAACCATCGCCATCCATTGTAACGCGTAGACGTTCTTGGGCTGTTTCTCAAAAGATTCTATTCTATTCTGCATCGTCTTAAACAAGCAGAGTCCTGGAGAAAAGAAATGTTATACACTGGTTATTTTTGTGTTTTCCTTTCTATTTCTTTTCCACTTCTATCATTGTTAATCGTCTATCTTTGTTAATGAAATAGGTTGACAAAATGTCATATATATGTGTATAGAAAGTATGGTAATCAGAATTCAAGAATTTCACAAATCTTGACGCTTTACACCTCCCAGAGTCGGTAAAACTTAATTTTGCAATGTTGTCTGTATGTGTTTGTGTGTGTGTGTGTGTGTGTGTGTGTGTGTGTGTGTGTGTGTGTGTGTGTGTCGGTATTTAAACACGATAACTTGAGTTCCGTTAAAGCCAGGTTGACGAAATGTCATATATATGTGTTATAAAAAATATTGTAGTTCTGTATCAACTATTCAGCTATTTCCGGTATCCGGAATGGGAACTTATTCTACTTTCGTTTTTGCGTCATTTACGGTGACCGGAAGTAGTACTTAACCCTATTTCCCATTTTAAAAAAAAAAAGCGTATGGATTTTTTAAAAACTTGATTCCTCTTTATTTATAAATCATTGATGTTCTGCAATGTTATACACATATTATTTGCTGTTCATTTGGTGCGCAATTCTTTTTTCTATAAGATTCTCTTCTATTAAAAAAATGTAAGTATTTGAAAATTGATTTTTTTTACATTTCTATATCCTGTCGGCACTGGAGATGTTATCTCCATTATTTTAACTAATTTATATATGAAATAAAATGTTTGTGTTAGAACCTGTTACGTGGTGTTGCTTTTTCAATGTTTTCAGCTTGAAAGAGAGAAACGACTGACCTGGGAATACAAAAATAAAAACTGCGGCTAGTGACCCGAGGATCTGTATGGCCACACCGATGTTCGGTGTGAAGATGGACAGTAGCAGGGTCAAGGTGAACCACACCAATGTCGTTATGGCACGTCTCGACGTTTCTCTGTACCGAAGATCCTCGGGGCTCATTTTCCAGAGCACCGCCCACACCGTGTCAAAGGCGGACCTGTGGACATATATATGAACATAAAATAAAATAGGTTAAAATAAACTCCTCAGAATTATTTCCCATTTACTATTTAAAATTTGTTTTTACATTATAATTAAGTCTACTAAATAACGAAAAGTGAACTCTACTTCAACTGACTAATTGACCAATTAACCATCAGGCACGAAAATGAATCTACTTAATAACTCTCCCTGTTTACTTTTCACCAACTTCTTGAAAAAAAAATTCCGTATTTTTATTCGACTTTAAAGGAAAACCATTCGATAAAGCGTATTTATAAATGTGATTAACATACAATTTATTTGGAAGGGTAACCGGAAAATTGCACAACAGAAAACTGCACAACGAAAAACTACACAACGGGAAAGTACAGATTGGAAAACTACACAACGGAAATTTACAGAACGGAAAAAATGCGCACAAAAATGCGTAATGGAATTTTTTTTTAAAACCTGAAAATTTAGACATCAGCAAAATAAAACATATATTATTGAAATATGACAAAATTAAAGTGTTTTAGTATAATGTTTGTATTTGCGGATTTTTCTGTTTGCGCATTTTTCTTTTGCACACTTTTCCGGTTTCGCGTTTTTCTGGGAACCATATCACTAGAAACACACTTAATGTTATTTGTTGTGAGCTCCATTTCGTGCATATAAAAATCGATGCCGATGTCATCAATTTACCAAATACCAAGAGACTTACTTGCCACAAAAGCAAAAGATAGGGTATGTTGTGTAAGTTTTGACAGCCACAAGAACTACAGCCAACATCACATCAGCTGTAGGGGTAAACGACAGCAATATGTCATTGGTGACTAAGTCACCGAACTGTAGAAATGTTGAGAATTTTATTTTACTTTAAAAGGCATTTCTAGGTCAGTTTTCAAACTGTAATATATGTTTCTTACACATCAATATGTATAAACATATTTTTGAAAATTCGTTTTAATAATAATCTATTAAATACACTCAGAAATAGACTATAAGACAAAGTATTTTTTCAATAAAATGCATTGTTTAGAAGTGGGTTACAAAAACGAAATTTCATGCATGAAGATTTGATATTCCCATGTTATTGAATATGTGTTATTAAGACATAAAAATTAAGACTACATCTTTAAAAAAACAAATGTCCTTGCTAGTTATTTGTATATTTATAGAATTTGAAAAAAAGTTATATGACGGTTATCTAGGAAAATAAACGCCTCTTCAGTCCTTTAATAATTATTTTATCTAAAACTCATGTTATTTGGGGGAACTAACTTTGTTTAAATTAACCATTGATTTGTTGTTATTCCCAGCTAGGTATTTATCACCGATAATTTCCCTTTGTTTAACTGAATAACCCAATGTAAACCTTTAAATATTTGTTACTTTTTTTCCTCAATAAAACAATATCTTAAATACAGATCCTTCAACAAAGGTTTACGATCTCTATCTAGTCTACTGCACTTTAATTAAATTTCCGGTGGTTTGCGGGAAGTTTTTTTTAATATTATCATATCTATTACTATGTAAATTATGTATATTTTCTAGTTCATCCAAGGGTATGTGTGTGGAGGAGCTGCCCCTATTGAGAAATTTGTGAAAGAAGTTAAATGTATCATAAGTTATTTCCAAACTTACAATCATTTTTCACTTTTGTTCAATCATTATAAATCATTATAAATATTTGATGTTTTCGCCAAAAAAAAAATATATATATAACTGCATTACAGCGCCTAAATCATAACAAGTACAATCAAGTACAAACAAAAAGTTAATAAAAAGTAATCACAAATCCATTCCAAATATCTAATCACAAATTTAAAGAATAAAACCACAACAACCTGCAAATATCCCAGAGCTGCAGTGACTGTGTAAGTTATGATACACAATATCATGGCAAGTGTTACTGTTTTAGAGAACTCTCTCAAGTTACGCTTGACCATACAGGAGTAGATGGGGACGATTTCTATATGACACTGAAATATGTAACGATAAAATAGTAACACATTGAATTCAGTACTGAATATTGTTCAAGTTGTTTGCCATATAAAAATATAGTTTTAAAACTGGAATAATAAAAAAAAGATTTTTTTCAAAATTTCATCTTAATATTATTGTCATTTTTTTCTTTACAAATGCCAAAAAAAAAAAAAAAAAAAAAAAAAAACAAGACAAATAATAGTTTTGTTTTACAAAATCAAAACTTTAATATCGACTATTTTCAGTGGAAATTACCAAATACCTTATTCTAAAGCTAAATGTTCTACCGTTACTTCTGCAATCTACAACCAGTATAACAAACTCGCCTGATAAGAAAAACATATTTCTGGGACTACAAGAAACACATCAATCCATGAATGTGGCCTGAAAAATAAGCGCATCTGGAGCATAGATGAATTTGTCCAGAGTTTGTTAAATTCTTTTATAATATTAACAAATGGTCAATAAGGAAAAAGTTATAAATCATTTTTGAAGCATTAAAATATGTTGTACTTTTAATACTTCCAACCTACAGGGGTTAATAATTTAAAGTTTTGCATGGCGTCTATAATGTTTTAACAAACTAACGTCACGTTAAAATTAAAGTGTAAGTCTAGCAAAATAAATCTCTGAATACTTAACACATATTTAAAATTATTACATGTTCTAGGTAATTCCATAAATTCATTAGCCAGTCAAAATGTTTATAATTTGCATAGAAGAGATATGTAAACAAACTATGGTAGCTAAAAAATATAAATGAAATTTGGGTGGATAGAGTACATATATGGAACAATGCCGCCGAAATAAACCCTTTGACGGGAAAGATGCGAATAGGAGAATTGTGCAAAAAAATGTGCGCTAGGCCATTTTAGTTTCTTCAACCGAGCATCAATAGACATTAACAACGAAAGAATGCATGTAAATTGTAATCTAATAAAAAATATTTCTACCAAACATGAACAAAATTAAGTGTTTTAGTAAAATTAGTTTGTGCTTGCGCATTTTCCTGTTTGCGCATTTTTTTGTTTGCGCAATTTTCTGTTTGCGCAGTTTTCCGACTAAAAAAGTAATTTCTATTAATGTGCATAGTTTATGTCCGGACCCCTAAGCAGAAAGAACATTTTTGAATCGTTTGTTTGTGACTTGTTTTCTGCCCTGTTCTCAATGGAGTGTGAATACAAGGAAGAAGTATAAGAGTTAAATTTGGATAGAAATGTCTGTTATAAATATTGTTATTGTATATGATATATTCTTGTAAAAAACAAAGATCATTTCGAATGAAACGTACCCGGTTACGATATTTCCTGGATTATCGTGAGGTAGAAAATATTTAATGGTAACAAGTGCTGTTACATACAAGATGCCTATCACACCAATGATGCTAGAAGAAAAGAAAAGTTATGATGACAATAGAAATAATATCATGGTTTTATTACACTAATGTACATGTTTAGTGATAGTTAATATATATATATATATATATATATATATATATATATATATATATATATATATATATATATAATATTACGGAATAATGAGAAACATTGAGTTATGTTTGCATCCCATTCGCATTTTAATTTATTTTTATACAAATCTAAACAAATCAGTAGAAAAAATCAGCCAAATGTATATTTTATGCATGAGTTAAATGGTATTGCAAACAAATTAAACCAGATTAAGCAACATAGTTGATTAAGATACATTAAAAAATAAAATCAGAAATTGTATTTTTTATAAACATATTCCAATACATACTCTCCCTCTCTCTTTTTTGTCTATCTCTATTACTCTCTCCTACTCTCTGGTATTAAGTCAATAGATTTGCAAGCAATGGTCAGTAACCAGTCAAAAAGGATGTTTAAATTATATATATATATATATATATATATATATATATATATATATATATATATATATATATATATATATATATATATATAATTTTTTTAAACATACCGCTTACCTTGCGTAGCTTAAAAAATCGATTCTTTTAGGAAAACATAACGGCAGTATAAAGACTATAGACGTGGCTGATATAATGAACGCTCTTGTCATGTAGAATGGGGTTGTTTTACAGAAAATATCCTCCGCCACTTTGAGGAAAACTGGAAAAAATAATATCCTGAATGAGAAAAAACATTAGGTCTCGTTTAAATAACTGAAAATCATCTAACAAAAATAATTTTAATCTCTCAAAGTAGAGAACAGCAGTAGAATAAACCACTGCTCATTTTAAAAAGTGTTTTTATTGTTAATAAAGATAGCGTAATCCAAATCAACATTTAATTTTCTAAACTATAAATACAAAATCACAGTCCAAGACACCATAATGTTTTAGTTTTCCACCTAACAACATTTGTAAATGTATGCACCACGATTGCGTTCTCCGGAATTGTCAAAGATCTGATAATATATAATAAATTATATATTTTAAAAAAAACTTACACATTTCCCATTGGTCGCCAATGATAATGAGAAACGTGATACATAAACCAAAGCAGTAGAGTAAAATACAAACAGCACAAGCCAGCTGGGCTTTAGGGCCACACAGGGAGAGAACCACGTCTTGGTAGGTGTTACTTCCCTTGATGTCAGAACAGTAGGCGATGGTAAGTAATGTCAACACGACAAACACCAACAAAACCTGGCAATAAAAAGTAAATCGTGTTAATTGAGTAAAAGGGTCGGCAGATCTTCAAGCTGAGCTTAAGGGATGGTGTGGCTAATTCAACCCAAGAACAGACGTAATACACTCTAGAAGATAGAAGCTTTTCGCGTAAGGGATAACATTATTCAAATCGTAAAAAAATAATAACGTGGCTTTAGAAGTCGGCAACGTTAGGAATAGATGGCTAAAAGGTGTTAATACCAAATTATGAAATAAAACATTTTCGGAGCGAAATTAGATTTCTGTCGAAAAGATTATTATAGATGCAATGTGTTATTTAAGACGTAAACACAATAAGCCTGAAAACAATGGTCGGTTGGAAATTTTTAAATCAACTCAAATTAAATACTACAAATATTTTGTAGTGAGATGTTTTGTCCGTGAGATCATTTATATTTTTTCATTAAGATAATTTTGGATGGCGTATTTTGTCCTTAGATTATTTGTCATTAAGATCTTTTGTCGTGGGGTATTTTATCCTCGGATCATTTGTCCATGAGATATTTTGTCTGAGATCATTTGTCTTGGACCGGGGCAAATGTGCGCAGAAATGAGCCCCAAGAGCAATTAAAGAATGTGCAGAAATATTGAAAGCAGGATGTCAAGAACTCCACGAATTGCTTAAAGGAATAGATTAAGTAACAATGTGACCGAAGACATCATAACTGAGTTGAAAGAAAAACAGAATGTATAACTATAAAATTACGTAAATATGCGGCTTTGGAGAATATGACTTAAAACTTCTTAGTCCAATGACATTTTATAAAATTTTAGAACCAGAACTTGTATTGATCAACTTACTGACTGAATCATCGTTGAAGAGAAAACCCCTCCAGCTTTGTGAAAGGCAATGGGGAGGTTTAAAAGTCCAGCGCCCAGTACAGCGTTGACCACAAGAAACGCTGTGACAAACCAGCCTGTACCTGGACACATACAATGTATCAACAGTTGTAGTTACATATCCGTTTTTATTTGTGTGAGGAAATTAGAATACATCAGTTTAAAACACAGAAAACTACTGACTCATTTGCAAAGAAAATTACAATGTAATACACTTTAATACACTAAAACAGAGGGGAAAAAATGTAAATACTATAATATAGTACAGTGCATGAGGGAAGGGGTACATACTGTAAAGCTAGACTGCTAACTCAAAAGTCTCGAGTTCAAATCCATGTTAAAGTTAGTAGACCTTTCCTTTAGTCCGCCTAGCTCTAATGGGTGCATAACTCAAGTTATGGAGAGCAAGGAAGCTGGACATAGTGTTGAGCAAAAAATCCCTGAACATGTGAAAGAAACCTAGGAATACTATCTAAAACTAATATATGTCTATGTAATTGAAACTGTTTGCAAGTTATTTAGTTTTGAAAAACCGTAAAGTGTAGAGCATTTCATGTTACCGGGGATTTCTCGAAAGCAAATGAAGGGCTCAGTGGAAAAAGTACTTAAGTGTATTTTGAGAGTTTTGAGAAAAATGAGTGCAAAGTTTTAAAATTGTTATTGAAATACCAAAACAGCTGATGCAGAGTATTCAAATTAAGCTACTTCGGTACTTTTTCCATGGTCCAAATTTACAGGGATGGTTAAGGGGAGGCATTCAAATAATATACCGGTCTTAACTCATTTTTGAAAAAATGTAACTTAAGTACTTTTTCCACTGAGCCCTTCAAATACGAGTCAGAATTAATACTTATATGTAAAGTTTCGTCCACCTTATTATAACGGTACACAAGCTGTCCACAGAAAGATAGACAGACCGACAGCCAGACATTAACGATTGTAAAACTAAGCTCTTCTGATTCATAGGTGTCAAAATCTGGAGTTCGATTTGTTTTCAAGATTGAGGTACTTCCAATATTTTCCGTCTACCAGAGATTAATAATCGAAAGAATTAGCATCTCTCCATTTTACAAATACATTAATGTTCTTTATTTACTCTATGGGTGTGCCTCTGAAGGTAGCCCCCCCCCCATTCCCCCCTCCCTAGTTGTTAATTAACTTGTCATTTTAAATAACAAAATACCATTAACAATGCAATGATAAAAAAATATGTAGATCTTATAGAAATAATTTCAATCAATGTTACCTGTTGTTGTACCGACTTTATCATGTTGTAAGTCTATCGACTTGATCCCATTTCTCTCACCGTCTAAGTATTCAAATTTGATGCTATTCGTTTGAATAGTCATGATTTCCGTCTGATAAGAAAATACACAGTGAAAAATAATCCGCTGCGAATTTTTCCTCATACGCGGATTAGTACTTGTTAGTTATGTATGTCACTGTAACTATATAATAAGTGACGACATGGGACTAAATAAAATGTGTAACAGGTTTTTGATTTACTTAATTTTTTTTTTCGTAAACTTTTACTAGCTTTACACGTCAAGCTACACAGACAGACCAAAAATAATCAGCACGTACTGTTAAAATAATTTATTTTTATGCGTTGTTTTTACAAAAATTATGTCATGTTATTGTCAATTCATAACCTCTAGTAGCTATCACCGTTGTCAGTAAACGTAAAGTTAACCAGTCAGACGTTTGGTTAATAGGCAGACGAAGTAGTGCTCCCACATATAAGAATAAATAAGAATATATGCATATATATATATATATATATATATATATATATATATATATATATTATCATATATATATATATATATATATATATATATATATATAATCATAACGATGTACATAATCCAATATGTTGCTTGTTATTTGGAATTAGCATAAACATAGTTATTTCGAATCATAGAAAATAATTAAAAACTATTTCGGAGTATGAATAATAACACATTCCAGATTTTTTTCACGAAATTTACATATAGGCCCTATTGGGTCAATGAAGGGGAAGCTAGTTCTTTCAAATAGCTCACATTTTAACTACAAAAAAGTATCACATCAAGCGTGTAATGTTGGTTTTTATTTTTTTAATCAGCACCTTTTTACGTTTGCTTAATAAGTTCATTTTTTTTTCCTTTTTTAAAAATTTCAGTTAACTTTATGGGTTTATCAGTTTACTTTTACTTTATCACTTTACTTTATACGTTTCAGATTTTGATTTAACTTTATCTATTTATTGTTTATTTCATCAGTTTAGCAGTAAACTTTATAAGTTTACTTTATCAGTAGACGAGTTAAGCTTATCAGTTAATTAGTTTATTTTATCAGTTTACATTACCAGTTTAATTTAAAATATTGAATCTAGGGGAGACTCAATATAACATTTTTTATTTCACGTTTGAATACAGTATAAAAATACTAAAAACGATTACCAGAGTAGAAACGAAATTTCTCTCACGATTTCAACATTTAGAGCAGGGGTCTCCAAACTTCGGCCCGCGGGCCGGATGCGGCCCGCGAAGTCCTTTCATCCGGCCCGCGGAGATCTTTTCGTCCAAGGAAAAATTGTTTGTTTGTGATAGTTGAGAAACTTTTCCCCGAAAAATCAAAGACATGCCTGGAAGAAATTGGCCCCCGAACTGAAATTTGATAGTTTATGCGGCCCTCGGACTGAAAAGTTTGGAGACCCCTGATTTAGAGGATAACAGTTTTTTTTACTGCAACCTACCTATATATAGTCAACAGCTGGTCTAGGGATTCAGACATGTTTATCAGCAGTATCTATCGTGACTGGTCTGGCTTCTTTACATACGATATAAATAATGACGACAGTTCTGGGACAATGTCAATGTGATGTGGGGGTGGGGTGGGGGTGGGAGGATACGTCTGGTGTCAAGAGGAGAGGGTCACATGAGACGTTACATTTGCTAAACCAAAACTTGAAAGATTAAACTTGCGAATATTCTCATTAACCATGAAACGATAAAGCTGCTAAGTGAGATTGAACATGAACCGTTAAGAGAATTGGAATATGGGGTTAGGGTTGGTCGAGTCGGTAAAGCTTAAGGTTCGTTAAACCGAACGGTATCGAGTTCGAATCCTCGGGCAGATGAGGCACGACAGCTAGGGACAGCAACTCTTCTAGGAGAGACAACTCCAATATTAAACAACTGCTGCCTTGTAGTTTGTTCTTGACTATGTGTGACTGTATGTTAAATAAAAAAAAAGTTTTAACAATAATTAAACAAATGATAGTGAAAATACGTAAGTATTCCAACTGAGGAAATAAAATGGGACTCCATTGGAAGACTAATTATGTCATTGTTAGCTTAGGAAGACATTTTGGTAAAGTACTTAGGATTTTTTCCAATGTATTGGTTGTTTCATCAATTTAAGTTATACAATAGTTTATTAGTTTTAAAATGTGCTAATCTACAGTAAACACCATATGTGGGTTAATTTTGACGCGCATTTGATGCACGGTTTAGTAACGAAGATGCGATGATATTACAATTTTTTAAAAATAAATTTGGCAATGTAACAAGTATAAACTATTAGAAATTACTAATTTATTTTCGCTGCTATTTAAATAGTGTTTTACCTAATCTATAAAGGAATAATAATTGCATCCTAATGTTTTATTCATTCTTTTAGTGTATTAAAAATGGGGCAAGTATTGTAATTTTTATTTAACTTGAGTTGGTCTAGTTGTGTACTAGTAGCATAGGTCAGCTTTATTTTTCTAATAACCAACTGTCAAGTTTGCGATGCCTCTGCAATTGGTACATCTGTTAAACCCTGTTTAAAAATGTTAATGTATTTAAGACCGCAGTCAGTCTAGGTTTTTTTCTGTCACGTGATCATTGGGGTGGCTGTTGGTGTCATGTATGTCTGAGAGTAAAACACGGGGTTAAAAGATATAATAAACCGGGAGTGATCTCCCCTAAACTTTCTCGGATATTCTAATAACTACGAGGGATGGCAACTCAGGACATAGACAATATTTGTAATCCATTTTTAATTACTTAAACTTTTTATAATAGAATGGAATCTCGTAAAAAAAAGAATTGCACACTAAGTGAACGCCTAATAAAATGTGCATAATAGTGCGCAATATTATTAGTACTTTATAAATTTACGTGCGTTTTATGAGAAAACGGAAATAGCGTAAATTATTACTTCCGGTCAACAGAAATTACTCAAAATTTGACAGAAGGTAGAAAATTAGATTTTTTACTTACATGTGAAATTTCATTTATCTATCTGAAACAGAAATCAAATTATAGGCTTTTGAAAAATTCAAAGTAGAAAAAGTACCACTTCCGGTTACTGGAAATCGCTCAAAAGTTGACGAGGATCTACGATTTTGATAAAATACTTATATATGAAATTTCATCAACCTAGCTGTAACGGTACTCAAGTAATCGTGTTTACAAACAGACACAGACACACACACAGATAAACATACATACGGACAAGATTGCAAAATTATGTATTTCCGTATCAGTGAGGTGTAAAACGTCGAGATTTGTAAAAATCTCGATTTTTTTTGCACCATTACAATACTTTCTCTATACTTCGTAGGCCTATATACGAGAAAGTAAAAAATGGTCTGGGAACAATGCTCGAGATTAATTAACTAAATAAAACTAACATCTTAGTAGTAGTAAAGTTCCCTT